ACGTTAAACTTGGTCACAACTCAGAATGACTCTGTTGTGCATATACAGTATGTATGATCCCAAACCATACATATATTACATTATGAGAGACTTAGTTCTCTGTTATTTAACTCTATACCTGTCATACAGTGAAACACGCAGATACTCCCAAGTTAACAAAAATAAAATCTATTATTTGAGATTTTCAGCACTGAGAACACACATAGAGGTTTTGCAGACAGTTTTTTTTTGTCACTTTTGTATCAGCTGTTTGCAGCACTGAGTGCAGAAGCAGGAAAACACCATGAGACAAACACAGTTCAGTGAATTAATACAGAACTGACCTCAAATACATGAAGGCAAATTACATTTGTTACGCTCATGCCACTAAGGGTCTTTTGCAGTCTCAGTCTTCACTCCTCTGAGTTTAACAGTATCATTTAAAGAAGGAAGTGCATGTATATTTTAGTTTGACCTAAAGTCCATACTGTTTGTTTGTTTTTCTGTCACTGTTTGTAAAATCAAACACGTTTCTGTTATTTTTGGTGGGCATTTATTATCCTTTTCCCCCATAACAAACAAACACTGAGTGTCTGTAGAAAACTCAGATTTTGTTTTTTTTTTCTTTTTTCTTTCAGACACCAACCAGGAAGACTGCTTTCTGTACATTCAGAACATTAATTTACAATAATTTAGTTCTATGCGCAATCAGTCAATCACAATCCCTGTTCTAATATAAATACACACTTTCTTCTTCTATGGTATTACAGATGCATTTGATAGGGTCATTAAGTTAATCAAGATGTGACTAAGGCACTGTTAACGTATGTATGCACAGAACTTAACAACCAGACAAATGATATTTGCTGATGATACTGTACTTTTCAATCATTATTGCTTTGTCGAATAACTGTGGTTACTGCATGTTTCTACATGAACATGCTGGTTTTCATCTGCAGTTCATATGCAGCTTGACCTAAGCAGCATTTTACACTATTGTGACCCTTCAGACAGATATATTTATGATTTGCATCTAAAGAGCAGGTTTTATTCAGAAATGCAAGTCTCCGAACTGGGGTACAGAATATTTTAGAATTTTACATGAAACATCTTTGTATTGAAGTGAAATGATCTCATGTACAACCAGTATACAAAAAAATTGCAATGCCAGGACCAAAACACCAGGCCTACTAAGGTTTTACCTACAGTTTTACAAAATTCCCTTAAAATGATCAAACCTTTTCATTCATTCATTTTCTACCG